TTTCCACGAATACCTTGGTGTATTAATTTACTCCACAGTTTTCCTCTATTAACAAAATCAAATGCTTTTTTTAAATCTATAAAGCAACAGTAAAGTCTCTCTTTTTTACGCAATTTCTTGTTAATTAATGTTTGTAAAACAAATATGGCGTCAATGGTTGAACTGCCTTTTCTAAAACCAAACTGAGCATCTGTTATTATACAATTTTCTTTTTCCCATGTCATAATTCTATTATTCAAGATTGATGTAAATAATTTACCAAAACAGCTTACAAGTGATATACCACGATAATTATTAGTGTCGTTAATACAGCCTTTCTTAAAAACAGGAACAATACATGCTTGTGACCAAGATTCAGGGAAAAACCCAGATCTAAAAATAGCATTAAACAACCGTTCCAAATATGGCACCAGAATATGCTTTCCTTGAATAAAAATTTCGTTTATGATTAAGTCTTCACTACAACTTTTGTTTGATTTCAGGTTTTCAATGGCTTTAACAATTTCTTTTGTTGTGATATTAGAATCAAGATCTTCATAAACTGACTCTATATTAACATTAGGAACATGTTGGTCAGCGCCATCATTCTCCTTTTGCGCCAGATATTTAAAGTGTCTATAGAAGTCATCTATTGTGAGTGTATTCATAGCTCTGTTCGACTTCCGATTATTAAAGATACTGTAAAATTTTCTTGGATCATTTCTTTTCAAAAGGACCAGCATGTCGCCTTCATATCGTTTATAATCTCTTTTAAGTTTAAACACCAACCTTTTGTAATTACGTTTGGCGGTTATTAATATATTGTAATTTTGATTTGATTTATCCCGGTTAAAATTAATCAACGAATTTCTGTATTCAGTATATAGATCTTTGCACCGAGGAGTTATCCACGGTTTATCTTCAATAACAACAGTTTTAGTGCGGTGATCGCGGGAGTTTCTCAGAGGGGTATCTCTACACTCACAAAAAGGTAATGTACAATCATTTAATATACTTATATTATTCACACATTCATCAACTGCATCTTGGTTATTTAAATCAACATTCAATTGTTCATCAATTAACTCACAGTTCTCAATTAATTTATCTAAAATTAGCATAGTATTCTCGCCTTTCCAGGAGATGTCAAGTGTCATTGGGATCTATAAATGTTGATATGTTTCCTGATTAACCCATTTCGCGTGTACTCATTAAAAACATCATTTACATGTACGCTCCAATACCGTGATTTGTGTAAAGACCTGCGCACTTTCATTTCCGCTATCAGCATAGCGAGGTCGGAGACAGCATGTAAGTTTTACAGTAGACGTTCTTCCTGTTTGTATGTGTGTTTATTGTAACATTGATTTGTATCAATTAATGAATATGATTATGAATAAATTGTTATTTTTATTTTATATCGTTATCTTTTTGTCATTTATCGACTGTTTATATAAGTTGTTGATTTTTCCGACAGTCAACGTATTGATAGCCTCATATTTGACCAAACACTTTACCAAGCTTTATGCCAAACATATGAACTCGCTTAACTCGAATACTCGGATAACTCGAAGTTTTCCAGCGATCCCGTCGACTTCGAGATAACGAGGTTCGACTGTACTTAGAAATTGGCATGCTACAGTTGAAGTGAAGAGGTTGATTATTACTGTCATGGCATTGTTGTAAAGTTACATTTATTCATTCTTTTGGACTTACACCATGTAAGTAGTGAAATATTTATCTTTTAAGATTAATTCATTGATCTTAATATTGCATAGCCACTCTGGTCTTTCAGTTGCTGAAAAATTGTTTCACTGCTTCTCAAAAACGATTGTAATTATTTACTCTAAATCGAAGTAGTTTATGTATCTGGTTTATTTGTATTTAGCCTTTACCACCTTCCATGCAAACCATCTGTGTTCACTTTGATGCACTTAAAAATCCATATCCGTTCCTCCTATTATTTTATATATTAAAGTTGCAATTCCAATGATGATGTTTATAGATTACAAAACAATTTTTTCATTGCTAGCACACAGAAACAATCGAGAGGCCGCCGAAAGGGGACTGAAGATTACATTTACGTACAAGAATTGGGAAAATTATTCTGATCAACAAAAGACAACCACAAACCATATGTTCCAACCCACTTCTTGTGATCGGTACATGTAAAATCCTCGATCTGAAACTAAAGAATACAAATTAGAAAGTTTTAGGCAGAGAAATACAACCAACTGTCAAAGATATAGTAAAAACAAGTTCTTGTCCTCAACAGCGCTTTACAAATATTTACGTTTAAAATTGTGTTGTTTTTAAATTTTTGTTGAAGACGTACATTTTTCTTACTCGCAGCATTTTAAAAAGCAATATTTTTACTTTTAAAAAACATCCCCAAACATTTAATCAAGTCGCTTTTACTTTTTTGGAAGGAAATATTCGCATTCTGATAGCCCGTGAGTATGCTAGATATTGATATATGGATCCGTATATTCTAAAGAAGAACAAAGTAGACCAGACTATCAAAATCGTTTCCTTTTTATCAATGTGTCTAGCTAGAAAACGTTACCTCCTGCTAACCCATCTTTTGATACCCACCTTTGGGTGCTTATGTATTTGCTAATACATAATTTAAATAATACAAGTATCCCTTTTCACCTATTAAAAAAACACCCCAAAATCGGGTGAAGATTAAGCCTGTTGTATCCCACTGTCTGCTTGTTACCCAAAGAACATTATTTAGTGTACATGACCTATACTAGGGGTTGCACGAACACACATATGATTGCACTTGCAAAATATGGTAATATAACAGTATGCTAAAATGAATATTAAGGCTGCATTATACAGCTGTTTCGTCTTTCTCAGTGATGCTAAGGCAAAAAATTTGGAAATACAAATTGATTTATGTTGCAGAAACCAAAATATATCCAATGCCGATCAGAACATATGGAACCTCTGCCTTTTTGCTCTTCTATTTACCCGTACCCTTTCTTTTCGACAGTATCTTTCTTGACACATGTCCTCATACGACTTTAGATGTGAGAAGAACGTTCAGCCCGGTAAGAAGAACAAACCTTTACTGAATATGTATGGACCCGTTCCTGTCTCTCCCCTCTTTGGATCTTTTAAATCTCCTTCTTCGATCCTTTCTTGTACTCTATTCATTCCTTATTTGGATCTCACACCTTGCTCATATGATACGTTATTGCTAATAAACATTCTTTCTTTGGTTCATTTTTATGTGTTTTCTAATCTTCGGATGCTCTCTTTGCCATCAAATATCTTGGATTCTATTGGATACACCCCTGCAATATGTCATAGCAAAATTGAAGGCATAAGGCTAGCTATTTGTTTGGTGTCAGGTAACCCACAATCACTAGGCTGATAATTGTCCTTTGAAGATTACAGAGGAGCGACACCCGACTTCAAAGCCAGTACGTTTTACCGTTACGTGACTGCGATATTCTTTTGATGTACATCAAACGATCAAACTAGTTTTCTCGTCTCATCCACAAGGTGCTGCACATTGAGCCTTCGATTTTGCTATGAAAGTGAGCGTAACCCTTGGATATCGAGGATTTACCTTGACTGATCTTCCTCAAACTTAAGATCCCGTTTTATCTGCCACTCGTCTATTTGCATTGCATGATAATGGACATCATGCATGACTTATAAATAATGGAGTAATATCGTATTGTACTTAATGCTCGTCGAACCAACCCGTCCCTATCCTATTCCTGGTTTGCTTCTGCCTCTCCCTACTTTTTGCCTCATTGCAAACATAATATTAATAATAATGATAATGTATAACATTTTATATAGCACCCTATCTAGCTAGAATAAGCCACTCTAAAGTGCTTTAATGTTCATATATATAATTTATGCAATCAATACAATTAGCATATACATTAACCAATACAATTTTGAGGAAGCTACCTTAATCGAGCGCTAACTACTAGTCCTATGCCAGCTGGCTAATATCTCCCTATGTGTGTATGCCTGCTTGTGTGCTGGAGATGTATTGTGTTCTGTTTGTAGT